CGTGTCGGCGCGCCGTAATCTGCATCTCCACCGTGCCGCTGTCTGGCGGCGGCGGCGGCGTGTTCGACACGGTAAACGTGCGCACAAAGTCGTCGTTGAGGCTCTGCGGATCCTCGTCCCGCATGTGCGCGTACCCGTGATCGAGCTCCGCCGAAAAGTCGAGCGTGACGTGCTGCCCCGCGCGCCACCGGCGGATGCTGCCCGCTGCCAGCGCAAACGTGAACCGGGCCACGGTCGGCGTCAGCACCTGTCGGTCCACCAGCGTCGCCGTGACCGCGGCGGCGGCGGCCGCCGCCGCCGGGGCTTCTTCGGCCGCCCGCTCGGCGAGGAGCGGCCGCACGGGCGGGTTGTACGGGGACGGCTCGAGGCTGGCGACCCCGCGCAGCGGCAGACCGGCGCGGACGAAGCGCGCGGCGCGGATCGTCACTTGCACGGCGAGGGTGGTGCGCGGCATGATGGCGGCGGCGGCGGCGCCGACGAGGAGAGACGCGCGGCCGGTGAGGTACAGCACGTCCGCGGTGGCAAAGTCGGGCACGACGAGGCCGACGAGCGGGTTGACGTGCAGGTTGCCGAGGGTCTGGTACAGGCGGTTTCCAGAATCTACGTACACGATTAGCATCATGGGAAAAAAAACCATGGTGAGGTGGGACGATTTGGGGGAGAACGTACACTCGGGATAGACAATCACAGCCTCATCGGCTTCATTCCGCAGCACGCGCACAAACCCCGGCGGCCCGCCGCGATGATTCGTGTCCATGGTCTCGCCATCCGTGCTCGACAAGAAGAACATGTCGGCGCGGTCCAGCAACCGCGTCGCCTCCGTCGGCAGCACCCGCCCGTCCTCAGCCACGAGCAGCGCCGTATCGGGCCCGTACGCGCGCGGCGCCACGCGCTTGCGGTTGAGGTACTTGGGGCAGTTGCCCAAGCTGCCCTGGACGAGCAGCGCCATCTGCAGCGTGCCGGCCGTCGTGTCCGCCGACCCGGCCACCACGGCGCCCATGAGCTTGACCCTGTCCCTCGTTTCCAGATCGATGGCGAGCGCGGCCGCCATCTTGCCGGGCTGCACCACGCCGCCGGCGCCGCGCGCGTCGCCCCACAAGGCACCGTACACGGGATCGTGTGCCGTGTCGACCCCCGTCGAC